AGTGCCACACTGTATCACAACTTCTGGGGGAACATAAGCCCATCGGGTCTGGGGCCCCACAGTGTTGTGTCGCAGATTGAGTTCATTTGTCTGACTGTAGCTAGTCCTGCCAGCCCTTCGGGGACATGGCTCGGTGGTCGGGCATTTGCCTGGTATGAACGAGGCCCTGGATCCGACCTCCAGCCCTGTGAAAAGGGGGAGGGGCAGCCCGCGGGTGCCACTATCTAACATGTCTCCTCTGTTCTTCCATGCCTGGGAGGAGAGCCTTATCACACTGCACACTTGCACTCCCGAATTTGTGTCACCTGAGGCCACTCACACACGTGGCGGTTGCCCCACTCACCACACCCTTCCCCATGCCACTGTCTACACCTCGAAGGCAGAGATCTCAAGCATTTTCCTCTGGATCGTTGGGCAAAATATAAAGAGCTTGGGGAGTAACCTTTGGAAGACAAGCTTTACTCTTTTCTTTTGCTTTAACAAATTTGGAACCTCTGTCATATGTTGAACACTCATCCCAGACCATCCGGGACAGGCGCAGGTTCAGATACTGTGTGCTGGTGGCTGCATAAGCCATTACAGTGCCCTCTAAACACAGAAATGTTTAAACTTACAAGTTGCATCTCACGAACTTTCTCCTACCTAGAAGATATGTACAATTCATTTGTCTTTTATCTTTTATTTTTAGTTGAAAATAGACTCAATTATCCAGAGAATGTTGGTATTGGGAATACAAGGGTGGAGAATGCCCAGGCCACTATTTTCAGGTAGCTCAATTTTGGATCATTGACTATAGTTTTCCTGTGGAGCAAGCCAGGAGCAGAGTGAGGCTGTGGGGAAGGTGAAGGGGACAGAGTTGCTACCCCTAAACAACCTGAGAAGCGGTGGAGTAAGGGAAAGGCAGAGCCTCATTCTGTGTGAGCTGTCACCAATCCTTCCCAAAGTGACGAGACGTTCGGTTCATTGGTTAGGAATCTGCATAAATTAAACTCAGAATCGGGGTCTCTACAATTCACCATTCTAATGTGTATAAAGCGGGGCCGAGAGAAATGCTGCTGGCCTTGCTACAGTGGGACCTAGGCCACAGATGCATGCCATGGGGCCTTGACTGTGAGCTCTGCCAGGTGATTCTACAGCACTGTGATAGACACAGCTGGAGCCTCTGGATCCTGCTGTGGCTCCCTGTCAGGGAGCCAAGGGCAGAAACCACACACACACACACACACACACACACACACACACACACACACACACACGGATGAGGTCCAGGGTAGAGAGGAAGGCTACTCAGTGCTCTACCTCCTGTTGGGATTCTCTGCATGAAGTCTATGAACTCCTAAAGATCCACTGACCTTGAAGTCGGAAGTCCAGTTTGAACTAGTATGGCATGAGTATGTTCCAAGATGGTTAAGAGCCCCTGCCCTAAAATGTTAGCTATGTTGTTCTTAGGATTGAAAGCTTTGGAAAGCTTCGGAACACATTAAAAATGCATTCACTTCCAAAAGATCTAAGGGGAACTAGGTGTGCTCAGAGCGACTACTGAGTTCTGGTTTAAGACATCTCTGTCTCCAGCTCCTAACAACAATGGGAAAACC